CAGAAGCGCGCCTTGCACATTATCCTTCCTTATGCAAGCTACAACAGTGCGCTCAAAGAGGCAGGCATCTCCTCTCTTTACGACAGGAGAGCATCTCTATCGTTTGATCTTTTTAATGACATTGTTCTTGACATTAATCACAAGCTCGCAGGTCTGCTCCCACCTAAAGCTGAGCACCACAGGCAGCTGCGCAACAATAGGAAGTTTAACGTGCCAGTGTGCAAGACTGATCATCTGAAAAAATCTTTTATTGTTAGCCATAGCCTAAGGATGTAAAAACATATGTTTAAGTATGTATATTTTTTAACACAAGATCATCCAAAGTTAAGCTTTTTTATTAGATTTGTATATTTTTATTATTAAGATTCTTAAACTATTTTAACTATGAATTTTGTTTCTTGTATTGTACATTATACACGTAATTCAGTCTTCGGACTGCGAGGTGTTTCTTTTTAATAAACGATCCATCCTATAGAATCTGTCACTTCTTTGTGAGCAGTATGACATTACAATATACTAAACAAAAAAAAAGTATTTAAAAAAATTATAGATCATAGACTGCTCAATACAATGCAATATAGTTTGGGTTTTAGAGATGACATGGTTAAAATAAAAAGAGGCAATACATAACATGCATAGTAAAATAATGAAAGTGCATATCAAACACACAAAGGTGCGATATGTTGTACCTTGTCTTTAAATCTCTGTGTAGAATTCGCCTGCATGAAGCAAAATGTCCATTAGATTCATAGTACAGAAATGTGAAGTGTTATCAGAAAAATAAAGCATCAAAGAGTCTAGTATGTTTTCAAAAATTTCTCCAGCAGTTTGAAGTTAAATGGGGAGGGATTAACTTCATACCAACTTACTTTTCATGCATAAACTTGACAGCTAGAACCAGTTGAATAAACCATGCCAAAATTAATGACTCGTCAAATGTCTTCCCAGCTTTCTCCCAAGCCTTAATTTTATCATCAAGATCACCTCCCTAGGTAGAAAAAAATGCACAGTTTAGATTGTGTATATAATCCCCAAGTATGCATGGTGAACATGCAGTAGTTTCAAAGAGAAGGCTGGAGGAACTTATTAGCTAGTAAGTAGAAAATTTCAAGGAATTATCAGTTTCCACATGAAGACATTTTACATAGACACATGAATTTCTGTGAAACAATTCATGTACCATAACAAAACAAAACAAAAACAAAAAAATCTGCTGGCAAACCTCTTGCAAAGACCAAGAGGTTTACCTTTATAGATCATGCCCGCAGACGCATTTTTCCTTAACTAAGGTAAAGAGATGTAAACCCAAAGTTTGGTTTCATTACTCAAACTGGAATTTTGGGTTATAATTACAATAGTAAAAATGAATTGACA